TTACTTTTGTTATTTTAATTATTTTTAAAATATTAGTTATTTTTAAAATATTTAAATGGTTTTAAATAAAACAGTTCTGACAAAACTGCTTCAGTTTGAAGGAACTGGCCTTTTACAGACAAGTTCCTGGAGTCCAGACACCTAAAAGAAATACTTCGTGGTACCTGGTGTGGCAGTGTATTTGCATGGTACATGCACAGCCATAAGAACTAGAGCCTGATAAAGGCACGAGATGAGAGAGCAGCTGGCACCGTTGAGGCGCTAGCAGCTAGGAAACAGAGCATCAGCCAAAAAATGCACTGGTTGTGGCTCAGCCTTTGGGCAGAAGTACAGCAGATCTGTCCCAATTAGTTGCAGTCTTGTGCAGAATTGTGCATCCCTGAAGTACAGGGCATGCTGTGAACAGGCATGCTACTTCTTCCCAATTAGGAGGGAACTGAAAACTAAAATGGCAGAACTCGGGCATTTTTTTTATTGTTAAATTGAGGTGGTGCAAATTATTCTTCCCATCCCAGAGGTATTTAAGTAGATTTTTAGGAAAATGAGGAGAAAAACCCTGCATGGCTGCCCTAGATCAAGTTCTCCAACTCACAAGCAGGAAGGAATTCAGGACTTGGTTAAGCAGTGAAATGTTCTTTTCCTTAGCTTTGTTTTGACAAAAGATGGAAATATTTTTGGCTGAAGTATCTAAGGTCACCCACAGGTAGCTATTTAATACAGAAAATGGTGACTGGCTTTTCTAGTTTAACACTAGATAAACTAGTGTTAAAGATTCTACTCAGTGGCTTGCCATATTTCTCAGCTACCATATTGGCACTTAGCAACCTTAGTTAGTTTTCACAGTATTTTACTTAAGGCTTTCCTGTGTATAAAACCGTTATGTGTAGAATGTAATTTTAAAATATTGGGTAAACTTAGGACCAGCTTGCTAAATTGAGAGAATGAGCCCATACAGAAAAAAAAATTAAAACTGTATCTGGCACATCTAGTAGAATGCAGGGTAACCAACATAAACAGGTATTTTAAAGAATTCAACCTCTTACTCTAGATATATTAAGAGACTGAAACAGCAAAACCACAACTATTCAGACAAAAAAATGTAAATAACTTTATTTATAATCTGTTTTCAAGTTAAACTGACACAAGCTGAAGGAGATGTAACCATATGGTAGTAAGAGGTAGGAGAGATACAGAAATGGTAGACAAGTTGCATTTTGCCAGTATGACTTTCTGTAGCCCTGAAACAGCGTACCAATCCAAAGCTGCAGACTTAAGTTTGTTCTCAGTATGCATGAGTGATTTTACTTTGTACTTGTTACAAAATGAAACATGCAACTGAAACAATTTCTAAGCTGAATATTTCATTCAGTGTCTTTATGATCAGGCATAGTTAGAAGAATACAATTCCATGCAAGCAGGTTACAGGAGTTTACAATGTGAGTGCATAACACTTTCTTCTCTAACAATTATCACACTTATATGCTGATGGAACAGTAGTGATACAAAACCAATTAGGTGTTAAATGCGTATTTGCTCAGTTGAATGATAAACTGCAATTGACCTTAAATTAGAGCAGTACTTATGGGGATTGTGTTCATCTAGCAGGATGAAAAATTTTAGTGCAAAATAAAGTGCAGTTACTACACAGGAAAAGATTCTTTCCTCACCCTGTGATTAAGACATATTGCATGACCCTGTGAAACAATCTAGCCTGTTCAAGGCAAAATAGACTTTAGTATAAATGATCCCTCTGTTCCTGGTTTCAATGGGAAAGCATGTAATGACAGCTCCTGTTATTGGTTTCACTGGTTCTTATTTAGGCTATAAAGCCCTTTTCTCTTAATAGACAAGAAACAAAGAATGTTTACAACTTAAGTGCCAGTTGTAGCACATTCCTAAAGCATTAGCTAATGCCATCAATGTTTTAATAAATACTCTGGTTACATATTATCTGTACTGGAGTAAAACCTAAACATGACAATATTGCAGTAAGTGAAATGAAAGTAACCAGTCTATAAAGATTTCAAGAGTAGCTTTCAGGTAACTAACCAATGCTTCACTCCACTTAACCTTGGGGATAGTTCTCCCATAAATCCAGCAAGCTATAGGGCTTGTACATGACAGTACAACTTCTACAGCTGGTCTGTGAATATTACTGTATTTGTAGTTCTTAAGGAACTGACAAGAGGTTCTTGACACTCTTTGTGTCTTAAAGTAGAAAGGTAACTGACTGCATGAAGACTGCTGTCACAAAGTAAGGATAAATTGAGTGTGAGAGAGACTGCAGTGCCATCCAGTCCCCTCTGGATTTATTGGTTCCCCTTGTCAAAGTTAGTAAAACTCACTTGGAGCAGCTGAAAATATGAAAGAGAAAACTGAGAAGAACCATGAAGTTCAAAAGGAGATAGCTAGCAGCAATGCTTCTCTCCTGCCACAAGACACTACTCCAAGCAATGTTTGTACAGTAGTGGTAGCCCACCTAGAGCCTCCATCCATCTTTCTTGTAAATGGTAGCCTGTCCTATTAAATGTAACTGAACTTAGGTAGCCTTTTTCTTGAATGGATTAGATTCAGGATCTGAACTACCTCTGAAAAAAAGATCCTGTTAGGGATTTTCTTTGTTGTTATCAGATGTTAAGTCAGAAGCTGTTGCTTGGAAATATGTTTAATGTAAAGCTTAAGTATCTCTGCAGCCTCAAAAAGGCAGCTACAGCAACTTCTATAGAGAATTTTTAAAAGCATTTTAATGCTGTGAATAGGCAAGCTCTATTGAATAAAGTATGAAATGTCTTAAAGCTGTGTAAGTTGCTCTATTAAGCTTTACCTCGTTATTCAAACAGATGGTGACGTGGATGTGTTTTCTCCAATTCTTTTCATTTCTCCTTGGATCCAGCTGCATTTTTCCCCCCCATTTTAGTAGGGCAAGACTCGTACAATAGATGCACAACTAGCATTTGTTAAAGTCAAGTACATGACTTAGCTCCAAATTTTGTATTTGCTTCTACTTGAGGTGCTCTTTTTTGACCACAAGATGAATTGGATATAATGTCTGACATCTAAGAGTTCTGTGGATTTCTTCATTTGGGAGTCTGTTGTTGCTCTTCCACATACCCTCTCCAGTCTAACTGGCCAGCAGAGATCGCTCACTTTGTCTTAGGAATCAAAGCAGGCTCCTCAAATTAGCTTTGATATACAAAAAGAAAGTGTGAGTGTTGAGAACCTCCCTGGAGTAAAAGCAAAGGTACCTTGTACCAGAAAGCAGTGTTAACAGTAAGGAGAATAAAAAAAGTTAACATAATAAAAATACAGAAAAGCAGTGGTCTCTGAAAGAGTAAGATTAACTGAGCAAGAAAAGCCAGGGTAAGAACAGAACTACTGTAGAGTGGAAAAATCTTTATTGGTCATATAACCATAATATAGATATGTGTAATGAAACTTAAAATTGTTAAAGCCAGTGATTTACTACAGAAGAATAGAAAGAGAATCCTGCTTTCTGAGGCAGTTATTTTTTGATAAATTTTCAGTACTAGTTATTTCTACAGTCACAGGATCAGTTTTAGCTTATTACAGTTAAGAATTTTAAGCTTATGTTAAATACTGTATACATACGGAATGTAATACAGTTTGCCATGCCTAGGAAAATAGTGCCATAATGCTGACCTCCAGGGCTACCATCACAATTTGAGGGTATACATGGCAGTAGAAAAGCCTAAAACTTCTTAATACTCTTTCCTTTCCCAAGCCAAGTTCCATTTTGGTTTCTGTGTATTATCCTACTCAGGATTAGTGTCTTCTCTTTCTCTACAGTTTGTGGTACTCCTTCATAGGCAATCATCTCCCTCCCTCCTGCCCCATTGGGCAGTTGAAAAATATTTCATGTTACTAATGACGGCCCCTCCACAGGCTTAAAGAAACAGACTTTTCAAGCATTAGTTTTAAGTACACTCTATACTCCAACACTGATTTGTGCTCATTATAAAAGGGCACATCAGTTGGGCCTATTGTTTCAGTATTTGACAGGGAGTACAGCCATAATGACTTTCCCTATAAGAATAATGTGCCTTTTACACTATGATTTTAGAATTAAGCTGTTATGTAAGGTCAGCCCACTACAGAACTCCCCACTCAGTAGCCCTGGAGATCAATCTAATGCACATACTGAAAATTATTTGTACTTAGAGATTTTAATAAACCACCTATTCAGTGTATTAATTTTCAGAGGAGTAACTAAACATAAATGTTCCAAATTATGTGCAATAGATCTGTTTAACAGATTTATTCTTGTTTGCAAATACGCACAAAGAATTTTCTGTCTTCTATTCAAGCAGAAGAGTTACAATGGTGCTTTTGCTACTAACTATGGTATGCATTTTGTGGTTATATACCATTCCAATTCACATGCCTCCTTTAAGTCAGGAATGCTCTTCAGTGCTGCCACTGAAAGATCTGCTCCGGACATGATTTCTCAGTTGCTCTATGAGCTCTGGATTCTGCTGCTGTATCTGTTGTGCAAACTGCTGCCCCCTGCATTGAACAGTTTTAAGTAAAAGCAACAAGTGAAAAAAACTGACAAGCACCATTTGCAAAAAAACAGGATATCCTAATACAACTGAAAGGTGCATTATATCAAAGTTAAGACTAAAGATAACTTGCTGCATAGTCTTAATAAAGATATGTGTAGTATTATGACTTTATCTAGTTAAAGTCTCTCCAAACAGCATTATCATCAGATCTTCATTTTCATTCTTTAGGACTACTGCTTCTACTTGATAACATGAAGGAAAATGTATTACCTTACTTGGTAAAATTAAAATTTAGCAACAAATCTGCTCCAGTGATTTGCTCCCTTCTTTTTGCGAGAATCCATTCTAGTTGTTTAAGATAACTACTCTTGTAGTTGAAGCGCAACCTTATATTAGTTTTTCCAGAAATACAGTGTGTGGCTGCCAACTTGTATTTGTGAGCAAGACATCATTAGTAGAAAGCAAGCATACAGTTACACCTTTATGTCTTGTATGACTGAAGTAATGACAGATCCATCTCCATAACAGTTGTAGCTTAAGAGTTCAATTAATAGGTGAGATTAATTCCGTGTAAAAGATAAGCATAACATGGGTTTACTAGCAAAAGCAAGTAAGTAAAACACATTACTTCATGAACAGCCTGGCATGGCTTCTCTGTAACTTCTGCCTTTTGCCCAAGCAGCAAATTACCAAGACTCCTTTAAACCACAGTGCAGGCTGAAGGAAAGCCACCATTTTCATAGATCTAGCTGTAGCATATGGTTTTTGTGAAAACAGCCCTTGATTTTGTGGGGGCATATTCCTGTTTGTGATGTGAATTATAAATTACTTTTGTCCTGAAAGGGCAAAACTTAAAAATAGTTTGAAACAGGCTAGAATGCTGAAATAAAGTAAAATTGTATGCATGCCCTTTAAGAGGTCTTGCCATATAAGCAAATAGCATGGTTTTGTGCAGACTCTTCCAGATGGATTATCATTATTAAAAGACTTGGGTCCTAGTTTTTGTAAATGCTACTTCTCATTATACCGAGTTCCCTGAAGCTTTCCTAGTCTAAATGGAGGAATCCCAGAACAGAACCTGTTGCAACATGCACTAGGTAAATCTGTAGATTTTCTAACTAGTGTCTGGGATATCAGGTAGTAAGTTTACCAACACAATTCGAAAGCACATGCAGGAGTACTTGAAGATTTAAAGGAGCATTTTTAGTAAGTGGCATTTAGAAGGTAAACAGTGTGTGAGAACCAGGAAGTGAAACTGAGCACCCAGTTCAGCCATTCCAATTGATGGAAATACACAAAGCAAAAAACCAAGATAGTGGAAAATAAGTCTTCCAAGTTCTCAGTTTTAGTAATAATCAGGCATACAATGGGGACAGGCCACAGTATAATTGGCTTGACGTGATCCCTTTTAAACAGATGTTACACAATGATGCTTCTACAAATGTAACAGTTAAAACTATGCAACTCTTACTTACGCATGGATCAGGCTGGACAAATCCGACAGGCCACCAACACCTGCAGCAGGGCCACCAATGGCATTTGACATCATCCCTGACATCCTGGAACAGTTAGCACAGTGTTGGCATTGGGGTATGCAGGGACCTTTACAGTAAGCAATAAACCGTAGTTCTTTTTTGAATTGCTGGGAGGAAATAAGCTGCAAGAGGAAGAAACTGCAGTAGATTTATTTGCAGTAAGCAAAAATAAAATTACATTTTCAGGAATGCAGTACTATCCACCTTTTCTCTTATTAATTCAAACCCCTAAAGACATTTGTTTTAATGGTATTCCATTATAATACTTACAGTTGTTGAACTTGAGGATTCTGCATTAAGCTTGCTGCCTAGAATAGACAATATATAGCTGAAATTATAACACATTTACTACTTAGATATCACTGAGGAAAATGTGGAAAAAAATTCAAAACCCCACATACTGTATTCTGTTTTATTACAAAATTAAGCTAAGTTTATGTGCACAGAGATGTATGGTCCCCAGCAGAAAGAATCATCACAGGAACATATTTCAAGGATATGAAGCTGAGAAAATTCGTTGCATGTTAGGTAAAAAATAGTTGTTAACAGATTCAGACATGAAAAATACGACACAAAGACATTAAAAACCCAGTACCAGAAAACTAAAAAAACCAACAACCCCCCCCCCCCCAAAAAAAAAATTAACTTAAGACTTCCAAGGACAAAGGTTTTCTGTTGGGTTTTTTGGAGAAAGGTCTGCATTTTGTTGATTCCCAGCCCGGATAAATCAGTTTTGCAACACTATTACTACTGGGTATAAACTGTTAAAATTACAGCCACAAAATATTGCAGAGTAAACCAGAGTGTGGACTGACTTCATAGCATGGTTTTGCAGTAACTATTTCTGCAGCAATTGCATACCTTCTTACTTTGTAGTAAGCATGAAGTTATTTAAATTTCTCATTCATAAGATACCTCAGAAATTATACTGTGTTTACCATAGCGTAAGGGTGTATATGGACAGATACTATAGAATAAACCAGGTGACATTTTAAAGTTAGTAACGTAATTCCTACAGAAATCAGTGTCTGTATGAATACAAGACCAACAGGCACAATGCAGTATTTGCTTATTCACTCTCTTATTAAAGGTACTACAAAACCCAGATATATACAGTATTAATTTTATTGATCAATATGTCTCCATATATATCTCTCAAAAGTAAACCAACTGTTTTCTCTAGTCTACAGTTGGTTATAAAATGCCAAATTCAGGTCACTACTTTGGGTAATACAGGGTTTTTTTTCTTTCTTCCATCAGTAACAAGTCTGATCTAGGTTAGGGGCCCAAAAGGCAGACTAGAAGTAGCTTTCTCAAGGTCAGATGGTGAGTAAATTTTTTTCCTTAAAAACAAAATGAAGCATAAAACTACACCACAGCAAAATAATTCATTCGTTCCTGGCTGAATGCCCTGTGTTCTATCTACTTGACCAGGCATCTTCTGGAAATGATGCAAAAAATCCTTTCCCCATAGTTAGTTCCATATCAAAGAGTACATCTTTAAACAGATGCAGACTGTCGGAGCAAGTCACGTGGCCAATGAACTGGTACACAGAGTTCCAGTGCTATTTAATCACTAATGCCGTAAGAGAACTCGCTCAGTTCTTCCTTCCCTACTGTCTCCATTATTTGGACCATAGTATCAGACAAGATGTATTGATCTCTCTTGCATGCAGTGCATTTCCACACGGAAGCACTGGTTGAAATGTCCTGTCCTACTGAGGCTACTGGGGGACAGTAAAGTTTTAACTGAGTTCTCAAAGGAAACAAGTGATTTTTACATTCTCTTCCTCCAAATTCCATTCTTCAAAGTTAATTAATACTATTTAGCTAAGAAAGCCACGCATGGAGAAAAACTACTGAGGGACAAAACCACAATTTACCACTGTACTGGAAGTAAAGGAATGCACTTCATTGTCTGCACATCTCATGAAGTCTTGCACACTTAATGATGTCAGGGATAATTTGAAAGAGTAAGAACAGAAAGGTCTCTTGGGTAGTTCTCCCAAGGCAGAGTAACTTCAGTCTTGGGTAGACTGCATCTGAATCAACTGCTATTCATTTAAGAGGCGATTTCTTTGTATTCATTGTTAACTGCTATGTGGAGAATAGAAAAGACATTTTCACCATGCTACTGACAAGTGTTTTACTATCATGCCATTGCTAAAAACAGCATAGCTAATCTATGCACGTTGTTGTCATAAGTAAGATAGAATCAACTGGAAATAAGACAGGCATTATAGGAGATTTATGCTTCACTTCCTGTTTTGAGTGTAAAATGACTTAGAAAAGTTGAAATTCAGTATAATAAGCATTAAAATTGCTTGTGTTACTAAACAAAAGTTGCTCTTAAAACTTCCGTTTTAAAACCAGTATTATGTAAAGCTTGAAATATACTCACCATACTAATGAAGGCAGGATTGTTTATCAAGCTTGCCATGTCAAAACTCAGTCCAGTTCCAGTCTACAAACAAATTGCAATTCAAGGTAAGTTTACCTACAAAATCCCAGTTAAAACTATTGTAAATAAATAGATACAGAGCTGACTTACAGGACTGGACATGTCTCTCAGTTTCTGTTCTGCTATTTTCAGATTTGACTTGTAAGAGTCATTATCTGGATCAAGATCTAGTGCTTTTTGGTAACTGGTAACTGCTTCTTCATATTTATTCACTGAGGTCAGAGCCAACCTAATGTGAAATAAAGAAATCCTGGGTAGAACACAAATGACCAGCAAAAGATAATGATGCATTTTCTGTTCTAAGTAAAACAGTATCTCACAACTAATTTTTAGCTTTGTTCAGCAAGTTTTGCTACTGTGCTACTACTGCTTACTGTAAGCACTTGTTTTTGCAGAAGAGATGATCCCTCAAGAACTCATCTTGCATTGTCTGTTTCATATCTATGCAAGTTTCATTAAAAACTTCTTGACATCATCAAGTGATGTAGTCTATATTTGAGAGCACAAGCTGGATCCAGCATCAATGACTTCTTGCATAAGCTCAGGAATTCCTGTGTTTCCTCCAGTGCTTTTGATCCAAGATATCATTCAGGAGGGTACATGGGTAAGTAGGGCGAAGCTACTCTTAACGTGAGTGCTGCAGCTTCAAGAAACCAAATGCTGGAACCACAAGTTTCAGCATAATAGATTTTTGTCTTAGGATCAGTGCAAGGTTCTCCTTTTGGATCTTCAACAGCTTGACAAACGGGTTATACAGGATAGTTTTAACATCTGTAAGATGCTGTAAGAAACCCCTGTATCAGGGAAGTCTGCTTAATGTTTTGAAAAAGATTGTTCTCCAGCAGCTCAGGAGAGGACAGGACACATCTACTACTTTTGAAACAGTATTTGTTTTCAAATTCAATTAGCTACTACATTTAAAACATCATCTTTCTTTGAGCTATTCCAGAAGTCCACCTGGTTGCAGTTTCAATTCTATCTTCTACTGTATTTTCAGTTTACACTGACCACAAAAACTAAACTGATCTTTTCCACATTTTGTGAAAGATCCATGTAACCCACATTCAGCTATTTAGTACTCCAGCCTCCTTTTGGTATGTGCCGAGCTACATAGACTGGGTTAGTAAGCCTGTGCTAATGCCCACTGACAGACCTTAGTCTTTTATCTCAGGCAAGAGAGCTCAGTCTGTTAGACACATCAGTCACAGTCATTACTCTCAGTGATGATGAATTCAGTAACAGTATGAAACTCCAAGAGTTTCCAGTAACGCTCCTGGAGCAACCCACACAGTATTAATGTCTTCTCTCTTAACACAGTTACTCCCATAAAAAAACATTCTCTCCTTTGGCCCATTAACTTGCCAAAATAATTTCTGACCAGACAAGAAATGCAATCCAGTATGTCTGTGATGCAATCGTGTTTTTTTACAGAGAAAGTATGTAAAATTGTGCTTCTTTGAACACAGTACGAGTCAGAACAGCGGGCGACTGTTTCTTTGCTCACAATTCCTACACAGACAAGTGCTCTTGCAGGGTCATGCTGGAAGTATCACTTTGACTGTCTACATGGCTCCCATTTCTGCATATATCTGTGCACTTCTGCATCCTTCTGTGACATGTAACAAGTTTCTGTCAAACTCTGAGAAAAACTGATATGCCTGCATAATGCAGTCAGAAAACACAGTTTCTCATAAGTACTTCTTGTTAATAAGGTGGTTTCTGCGCTTGGTTTTTTTCAGTTATTTCTAAACAAGCACTGTTTCCTCATTCAGCCTATGCCAAATGTATTATTATATCCACCTGCTGAGTTAAGCAATGGCTTGTAGTTCCAAGTATATCTTCTATCAAAACAACCAAGCAATCAAAAAAAGAGAAGTTTGATTGCCCGAGAATGATCCCACTTACACTGTGTATCAAAAGGCACACCGGTCTTAGACCCAAAACTCCAAAATAACCTCCAATTTCCAATTAAATCAGCCTGTAGCTTCCCTCCATCTCACTGACATTGTGGGATCTCAGATTGTGCTATAAGAAGAAATTATCTGAAGAGATTTAATAGGACAAAACCAATTCAACAGTCCCTAAAATTTCAAAGTGAATTAAGTATCTCAAAAGCCAGTCAGGCTACATTTGTATTAGTAAAATAAACTGTATCATGGAAAGTTTTCAAGTGGCATGATTCCATCATCTTTGATCTTAAATAAATACACGCCAGCACGGTTTTGTCCCAGGCCAACAAGCCTTATCAGACAATTTTGGGGCGTGGTTCAGAATTTAACACAGGCCAACACAATGTAGCAATAGGCAGTTTGGATGTGGTCGGTCCATACTGCAAACTAGATTTTGAGCACATGGATATGGGCCGTTTTGTGCCAGCTGACCCAATGAACAATCCCAAGCATTTTTTAATTTATTAGTATAGATATAACCTCAGTGTTTATGCAGCATTCAGCCCACACCCACAATATGTTTGATTATTGAAAATGCAATGCTATGCATCTTGGAAGAATGGCCCTTTACCTAAGTAGATACCCCATTGAGAACATTCCTGACATTTTTTTCAGATAGCACTTAATCAGACCCACCACCTGAAGAAGCTGTACTGTTAATCTCTCAGACATGACTGAGAAAAACTACCAAAGGGACATAGCTTAGTCTTGCTAAAATAATCTGCTTCCAAAGAGCTACTGAACAGAAAAATTAAGCCTCTATTCCTGCTAGTGTGAAGCCCCAATACTTTTAGGATTCTGTTCTCTAACAGAATCATTAACAGATTCACTGTTCCAATTGCAGAATTTTGATTACTCATAACTAGGTAGGAGGTAGAAAAAAAACACATCATGACTCTCTAAACTAAATTTGCAAAGTTGATAAACTGAAAGAAAAAAAAATTGCAAACTGATGAAATCTGATATGAAAATGCTGACATCAACCACACACAAAAAACTTAAAGCTGACAGCCTGATAGGGTCATCTTCAAAAAAATTGCTACACTTTCAGAACAGGAACGTTAGCTAAGTAAAACAACCTAGCTCCACTTATTTCAGAAAATCTATGATGATTTACACTTGGGCCTTCAGTGTTTACTCAGATTTGATTTAGCTTACCCCATTCTCCCATATGCCTTGCTGTACTTTGGATCTATTGCTATGGCTCTCTCACAATCCTTTATTGCGTCACTGTAGTTGTTGAGCTTACTTTGAGCAGCAGCCCTAGGAGGAAGACAGGAGGGAAGGGAAAGAGCTTTGTCAAAAAAACAATAAAAGAAAAAACCCCAAGCTTAGATATTCACAGGTCCATGACTAACTTTAGACTTGTTTAATCTTACTGACTTTGCATTCACTACTTAGGCAATGCCTCAGCTTTCCTCATTTAACAAGCAAATGTTCTGAATTAAGGATGTGCTCAAGTACATTGTGAGACCAGGGCTTTGGAGAACACGCACTCACCTTTGAGGACACAAGGGATACATAAGTCTAAGGAACTGTTTTAGATCCAGCATATGACTACGCACAAAATACATCATAAAAACCTATTACAAGAAGTGAAACTCTCAAGTAGTAGTTTACATAAAATCATTGTTCAAGTAGAAGTATTTTATACAATTGGTGTTTTCTAGCAAGAAGTATAGTTTTCCTGCTGTTCAAAGGAATGCTGTGATTTTTCCCTGCTCAATTTTTTAGCATGTAACTCGTGCCTGCAGGTAAATTGGGATAATATTTCTCAATAATCTCTGAATTACTAGATTACAATTGCATCTCTATACCAGAGAAATGTTACGAAATGTTGCGGACATTTATACAATAAGAGTAGAGACTTGCCCAAATGAAAAAGGACATTGGAACAGATTAATAATCGAAACGTCCCCAGTTTGAAAGGTCTCAAAACACTCTAATTTTTCTTCCTTGATTAAAAAAACTATAGTAGAAATGACAATATTTCCATTGCATAAAGCATTCCTTTTTTTTTTTTTTATTAGGAATGCTAGATGCTACAATCATCACTATATTCAATCCTCCTGTGATAACCTCCGAATTGCATGTTTTTCTGACTTTGTTTAAAATCTCTTCTGAATGGGGCTACTTATATATTTTAAATATTTAGGCTGCTTAACAGTTGTCCAACTCCACAGATGCCAATGAAGATGTATGGATAAAAGCTGGGGACAATGCTTTGTCTCTCATGTGTTTGAACAGAAAATATTTTTTCTATGTTTACAAAAAATTCATATGGCCAGTTAAAACTTTGAGGGCATCTCGTCTCTTTTTCTCACTGCTGTAAGTAAAAAGCAATACTGTTGAAGGTAACACATCTCCATTGCTCCCAAACTAGCTTAAGAAAGAGAAGAATAAGGCCTAGATTTATTCAAATGCCACATCACCCACAAAGCTCCGAGCAACTCCCTGTCTTCTTTTAAATAAGTTCATACAATACTGTGCTTACTGACATCCAGATTCATTTTGGTCCTCACAAATGTGGTATGTGATGATGTAACACACAGAATGAAGTATTTCTACTCTTGCCAATTAGAGATTTGGTGCTTAAGCCCATTCTACTGCGGAAACTTTCAGTGATTTTGGGAGGCTTTTGAATCTGGTCTGGATATTTCCATTTTGTACCTAAAATCACTTAGATGATCAGTTTTCTCAAGGAAAATAGATTATTTACACTTTGAACTGCCGTCTGAAAGATGTAAAACATTAGTAAACTGTGCATTTCCTTTCTCTTTATGCTTGCCACAAAAGACTGAATCTTTCACTTGTATTTATCACAAACTAAACTCTGAAGTAATGGAAGCACAGCTCCAAAACCAGAAAAATCCACTGGCTACAGTGCCACAAGGCCAGATTGACAGCACTTAAGTCAATATATCCTTCTGGTAACAGAGGCACTGAAGAGTGTAGAGCAGAGTGGCTCTAGAGGCAGGCTAGTTCCAGCAGGGCTCATAGACTATACTGCCTTTGCTCTTATGCTGGTCTTCCGGGCAGTATACTGAAAGAGCATACTTCTGCTGCTGGGTTAACATGCTCTTCCAGACTTCATCTGCTCCCACGTCACTATGTCTTCACTGTGGTGAAGAATAGATTATTGCAACGAAACTACAACAGCAGCCTTGTTATTTTTCAACAGGTCATGCATAAAAATGCTAAGTGTTTATACAACGCTTGAAATCTCCAAAATGGTATTCCCACACTGATGATATTCTTTCCAGGGAAAGTCAATACTACAGGCCATACAGATGGCAGCTGAGTCACTAGAACACCAGGAAAAAAAGAACAGCAGAAAAAAAGGCTCTTACTACACTCAACAGACTGGGAATCACAGCCTACATTATGATTTAATATAGACAACCTAACTCACAAAAACCTGATCTCAAGTGTTACGAGTAATTTTAAAGCCCATATTACACCTTTAACTGATACAGATATGCTGAATTAACTCACTTTCACTTTAGAACTTTTACAAATTTAACATGATAAATTTCAGGTCACCATATATCACCTCCAGCACGGCTAATTCCCTAGGTACTGGATACCTCTCTCCATGGTGGTCCATTTGCCCAGGTGATATACAACATCTTCTTTGAAGGGATACCTTTCCTTCATACCTGACAGTAGTTGCCTCCAGAGGCTAAGGACTTGTGCCCCTTTTCCAATTGCTTTGTCAATGCCCCCTTCCCTGGAAAGGGATCCCAGCTGCTTGGCTTCCTTACCCTCTAATTCCAGGCTACTGGCCCCATAATCCCAGCACTGGAGCAGCCAGGTGACAATCTGCTTGCCTGGAATAGCGCTGAAATCTTCTTGCATATCTCGCAGCTCACTCAAGGATAGGGACTGGGTGGTTTCCATCTTTTTTATGAGTTCTTCCTCTTCCACCTCCTCTCGTCATGATGGCTCTGCTTTTTCATCATCCCTTTCTAAACAAGCTGACTTTTGCTTCCAAGATTTTTTCTTCCCTACAGGGGCAACTGATACCAGCATGGGTTGATTCCCTGGAGTAGCTGCAGTGCCTGTGGCCAGGGTTGGAGCAGCTGCAGTGCCTGCCGCTTTGTTGTCAGATCTAGAGACCATCTCTTCCCCTTGAGGGTACTGAATAATGTTGAACAGGGCTCGACAGGCATGGGCCAGCCCCCAGCACATTGCAGTGATTTGTGTCCATAGAATGGCCAGGGTGACAGCATACTTTTTCCAAATATTATACTAATTTTTCAGGATTCTGCACTTGTGCAGAGGTGAAGTTCCAGAACACCGGAGATGCCCACTGTCACAGGCATTTGCCCATGCTATCCCACACACCCTGCCACTCATAACTATCTAGCCTCAGGGCAGATGTCTGGATGATATTCTTAAATTGCTTATTAACCTTTGACAAAACCAAAACAGTACTCCCAAGAAATACCAATAGAATTATCTTAACTATCCAAGGACGTTCAACATACTTTAAAGTTACTGTAATGAAGGAGGAAGAAACATCCCAGAAGAAGGGAGCAAAGCTGCCATTTAGCAAAGGTGTCGATTGCTACCACAACAGTGCACCAGTGGCAATATCGCACCAACTGAGATTCCCTGATGCCTATCCATAAGCTGGCAATCTAACTCGCAAAAACCTGATCTCAAGTGTTACAAGTAATTTTAAAGCCCATATTACACCTTTAACTGATACAAATATGCTGAATAAGCTCACTTTCACTTTAGAACTTTTACAAATTTAACATGATAAATTTCTGAATAGTGGGGTTTTCTAGCCTCATGTTGTTTTGATCTACTTCACAATTTATCTTTAAAATAATGTTAATGAAGTTAGAGTATGAAAAGTGTGTATTATTTTGTTTTTACCTGTTGCAGTAATAGACTGCATTGTTTGGATCCAGTTCTATAGCCCTAGTATAACAATCCACTGCAGCACCATAATTTTCTTCTTTCATGTGATTATTACCTGAAATAAATTAGAAAAAGCTCTTAAGTATTTAAAAGATACACTGCTGTGTATGAAAGAAATAGAACAGCCACATTATAGCATCTATGTAAGGTAGTTATAACTGCACTTTTTTGAGATATGTTCTTTTAAATAGAATCGGCATGGAATAATGCAAATAAAAATATCTGCTATGTCTGTAAAGTTTATTACGTACATTGTAGTCCACCACATAAACCTTCCCCTTCTCAACTTGCTGTTTCACACTTTCCAGCTAGTTTCAGCTGTTGAGCAAAGATGACTTTGTTGAGAAGTGTAATTGTAGTTCCACTCTAATATTGATTACCAATTTTAACTGTCTTTTCAAGCCTCATAATCCAATAGGCTATATGTTAATTCCTTTTTGATCTCATTTTCTCGCATGTCCCAACAACTTGCTTGTAACTATCCACATAACGTGGAAAATCAAACAAAGGCAAAACTAAGCACCTAAGCCCCAGTTTTGTGATGCCACATAATTCATTCATTAAGATAATGAAAAGTCTGTATAGCACAGGCAATCTAAAATGATTCAGAGGTAACATTTCTCACCAACAAAGCTCAGAACTTGTGTATTTCATATTTTTTAAGTCCAGTGGAAAAACGTAAAAATATAACTTTTCTATGGAAAGAAAATTCTGGAATAAGGTCTTTCAAAACAAAAGGTATCTTACATATTCTTTCTTCCCCAACACAGGGCAGTCCTGGTAGTTTCTTTCTTTCCTGATGACAGAGTAGTAAAGTCCTAGTTCAGAGTGCCCAAGCTTAAGGTTGTCCCTGGTCCTGTGTCTATGGATCTTTGGTCTGCTAAATCCTACAGAAGCCTTTGTTTCCCAGCAATGTCACAAAATTGTCAGGAAAATTATAGACTTCCACTGACTTCTTTGTATTTTGGCAAAATATTTCAACCCTCTCCCAAAATAAGCAAGAAAAGGCATAGGTCAGCAGGTTACTACAGATGTAGATCACTGCATAAGCAAAGGCTGGAAAAGTTCAGTCAGTGCAACATTTTGTCACTGACAGAAAGCAAAAGACTGTGAAGCAACAGTCCTAAGTGTCTGTACTAACTGAAAACAACTATACTTGCATTTATTTGTGAGCATGGAGAGCTTAATAAACAAAACCAGTTTTAAGTAGCTAAGTATCATCAAGATAGTACAAAATCACCTCTTCCCAATAGTGATATACTAGACTGTAATTATAGTCAGCAATACCTTCCAGTGAGAAGGAAAACTGAAACTGTAATTGCATGTATACTTTCAAAATACACACAGAATATAACCACATCTGTCTCATTTCCACAGGCCCACCATCTACACATCCTTCCTTTGATCTAAGGTAAAGGGGTCTGTACACTAAATCCTGTCATCAGATAAAAGACTTGCAAGTTAGCTGCACTCAACAGCATTGCAGCAGTTAACATTTCTCTAAAACAAAGCTGCCATCGATGACGATCAAAGTTGGAATTTCTGATACTGCTCTGAACTAAAGATGACTTGGGGCACAGGGCTAAGCTGGAGCTAGTATCAGTGGGTACCTTTCTTGCTCTCTCTCTCCCCAGCTCAAAATTGGCTAACAGAAAACAGAAAAATAGCTAGACCTACTATTTCTGCTGAGATTAAGCAATTCCGGACAAAAGGAAAAGCAACTGTAATATTTTATTTTAACACCAGGCAAAAATTCTTAAGACAATAATCCCCACAAATGGTATACTTCTGAATGTGTGTCCTCTATAACAAAAATACTACCTGTTGTTATAATTTATACTGTGGTAATACCCAGATCTTTTTAGGATTAAGCCACTGTTACACTGTACAAACCAGCACATAATCTGTGCTCTTACATAGCTTGCATTAAGCCAGAGTGTCAAGTGATATACAAGGGTAGGCACGTAAATTCAAATATTTACTAGTCTGGAGGGTATATTACTTCCTGGTTTTATAATGACCAGAAAGAAAACTCAGCTATCTGATTTTGTTTTGCCATTCATTAGCCAATTTCTACAGGTACTAGGGCTGGTTTGAGAGCAGAGGAGGAGCAGGCTGGTGGCCACAAAGGTGAGGGAATTTATTCCATTGATAAGGACGTACAGATAGAAATTCTTTAAAGGTTCGACTACTCAGGAATGTTGCCCAGGACTTCACGTGTTATCCTTTAGTTTTTAAACAAACTCCTGAGCAAGGGAGAGAATAGACTATATTTTCTTAAACCACAGATAGAGCATATCACCTAGCCCTCTTACAACGTAACAATCACCACAGAATATAAGCTTAAGTTTTTGTGTGGGGTGTGTGTGGCCCAGCTGCTACCTTATCAGTATCCATGATAACCCCAAAATCTTAATAAAAGCATAAAATGTTTATTCCTATGTTTATTACAAACCTTCATCCTTCAGTTGGTCAGCCTTTGCAACATCCTCCGGTAAAGAATCTGAGAGAGGCAGCATATCATTCTGTATGTACAAAAAAAGGATTGTTTTCATTAAAATATAAGCTCTGATTTATTAAAAACTTCTTTCATCCTGGGCAGCATTGTATCAAAAAGCAACCCGATTTTCTGTAGTGCACAGAAGCATGAGAGAACTAAACATTACTAAAACATACTTCAAAGAGAAAAATAGCTTGCTTTCTACTACTAAAAAAACCTTACGGCTCACCACACATTTTAAGGAAGTCAAGGGAAGAGAGCTGATATGTCTCTACAGTCTTGGTTTTCCTACTTCTGACTCTCCTGTTTGCCATCCTGATAGTTCTTATGCTTCCTGTACTGGGGATCCCAGGTAACACGTGTTATTAGTACACATTTTTGAAGTTCCCATTTTAAGATCAGTGTTCATAGAGATGTTTTTAAAACTGAACAGCTAAATTATTTCCAGAAGGGAGTGGGAAGCATCAGCAAACTATGAATGACCTCAAGCACTTCACAGACATTTATCTCTGGGATCTGCAAAATGCTTAACTGAAGGATAAAATCCTTCAAGTGAGAATGAGACATCCACTGTGCAGTAATTTTCTACATGGAATTGTCCTTGTCTAGCTGAAATTAATGGCTCCCACTGCCCCAAAAGATTCTCATTCTGCTAGCTTTTATGGAAATTGCACTTTTTTTCATGTTTTTCTTAAGTTTCCCCATCATTTTGACCTATACAGCACTTTAAGGTTGTGCATACAATATAAAATCTTAGCCCATATTGGCAGAGTAACTCCAGAAGCTAAACGAAATTCTTACCTTGTGAAAAGAATTTGTGAACATTTCTATCAAATGCTGTGGAGGTGCAAGATGAGTATCTTCCAGGTTAATCTTAAATACAGTCTCCAGACACTGAATTGCAACTTACAAGTAAAAAGAAAAATATCAAAGTTACCAGTTTCTCAATAAAAGTGTAATTTCACTAATTTATTTATAAAGCTGTGATTCACTTCCTTATTCAGCTAGTAAAAGCAGCTCTTTTGGAACATACCATGAAATAAAGAGAGGCTACCTGATCCCCATAGGACTGACTTGCTGAAAAACAGTATAAGCTATACAGAATCCATACATAGTTTGGCCATTATTCTTACACCAATTTAAAACTTTGATTTCAATTATTTCAATCATTTAATATCTTTTTTTAAAAGATAAAAATATGAGGATTTAACAAAAGCACCACAATTCAACTATGCATGTGTCACACACCCCACCTCAAAACACAACTGCCATATATTTGTGTGGCATAATAGTTGGAAGAAAATGGCTCATCTTTACTGTAAAGAATAAATGCAAGATACTTATTACTCTTTTCTTTTTTTTGGAACAAAATTTATTCATTTGAAGACACTGTTTATTAATAAAATGCTTCACTAATCACAAGCCTTTATCCTATTAAAAAAAAAAGTATCTGCAGTATCTTTTCACATGTTCTGTTCTGTAAGGATTAAATGGCCCTCCCAAACCTGCAATAAAGCAAATACACTCAATAAGCAATTCTAAAAAATGTAGAGCCAAATACCTAACTGAAGTTTTAAATGGGCTCACATATTTTTAGGCAAAAGAAGATCAATCCCAATTACAATACAGAATTCTGTATATATATATCTACTCTGTTAATTATAGTATCTCAAATTATATAATTATTTTCCCTATCATCTTGAGAATCTAGTAGCATGTTTTAATTAAGGTATGTCATCTAAATGTTTTTGACTGAAAAATGAGGAGAAACAAAGAAGAGTCTTTGTAAAGCCCAGTCTGAACAGAAAAATTACTTTTTTAACTCGAACTATAGATAATCAGGAGTAGCTGAATTCAAATTAAGTATCAGTAAAAACTGAATCTTAGAATTTAAATTGAATTTCATTCCAATGTTAATATAATAAATATAATTTGAATTCTTATTTGCATTATAATGAACCTGAACACTGACCCAAAATTAGAAAAGTAAAAATTACTGAAAGTTAACAACAGTAAGGCCAGTTTGGGAGCCTATTTTCTATGTCACAGCTGAGAGAAAGGGGGGAAAAGTAAAACCTGGAAGTTGTAATTTTTTTTTAAAACTCTGGTAACATACAATAGAAATCATTCAGAAAAAGTCAAGTATGATAGAAATTCATGTTCCAAAACATGTAACAATTGAATACATTGCTAAATATGCATCCAACTTGCTCCTATAACACATAAATGCTAAAAAATGTATCAATTTGCCAGGTTATAATTACCCAGTAAGAGTGCTGAAGCATTTGGGTTAAACTCCTTTGTCTCCTGCTATGTAAAAAAAATTAATTCTTGTAAAGTAAGCACTGATTATGCTGAATTCTGAATTATATATTAACAGTACTTATTACCAGGCCTATCATAAAATCAGTGCAGTTACGTATCTTGTTTTTCCTCATATGACTTAATAGGAAGCCACTTGCCATAGTATACTTCCCAGTCTTCCCCTCAAACTTATTTTCACCTAAAGGCATTCCCTTCCCTGAATGCCTCACCTCATTTGTAGTTTTGCATAAATTTAAAACACAATCCCCTCCTTTATCTTTCTCAATGCATGAAGTCTGTGACACCAACTCTCATACAGGAGATTTTTGCCATGTGCAGCAGTGCAAATTATACTTAAACAAAATAAGCCTGGGTATGGTATTATTACTAGTAAGCATTTCCATGAAATAATCAGTTGTTACAGTGAACTCCCACATTTCTCCTTTAACTGAAAAATGGAATTTATAATCCTTATAATCTATCTATCACAGGTATAACAAAATTAGGAGCTCTTATGGGATGAATCCATAGGTTAGAATAACAACCACTGGTTAACGTTCAAGACAACAATAGAAACCTGTGTAAAAATAAACATAGCCAAAACAGAAACTTTTCCAAATCAGAAGATGTATTAAGTTGTGACAAGATCAAAAACCTGTTCTAATGTGATGTAAAAACCTGACCCCAGTAAAGTCAAAGGAGCGAAGACTTGTTTTTTTCTGAGAAGTATCAAGAGACTAGACTGCCAGCATCTCACTATCCCATTATCAAAGTGAGGCACTGTCAACTGCTGCAAGCTCAGGATCATTGGTAAGTTTGGAAAGACTTGCTGCACCACGTCAGCTATTAATCTAAGATTTTTCCCATGTCTGATTTCAAAGGCCAGAGTTATCTGTTCTGCCTATTATCTCCATCATCACATGCACTTTCAGACGCCTAGGCAGTTGCTGAAGCTCGTACTGGCCACCTTGCAAACCAGTAGAGATACCTACCTCCCTGCCCAACAGCTGGGGCTCACACAAACACCAACCACCTGCCCAACAGCTGGGGCTCACACAAACACCAACCACCTGACAACAGCTGGGGCTCACACAAACGCCAACCACCTGACAACAGGAGTGCTTGGGCTATGCTGGAGCCCAGCTCAGCATCCCCAGCGCCACAGAGCTCCAGGATTTTTTGCTGTCCAGGCACCAGTTGCAAGCAACATCAAGGCACCACAGCAGATATGCAGGCTGTTGATCACTAAATAATGAATATTAATTGGGCTGCTGAGGCCCTTTTAGTACTCGGTGTCCATCTTGCTTCAACTTACACATAACCTTCCCCATCTCAAGTATTACATGCATCCCTCGCCTTAAGGGGTGCATTCCACTGTTTTGGAAACACTGCCTTAGAGAAATTCACTGTGGTACACTGATCTTAGAGGTAAGAAAAAAAGTCATAGCCTTGTGCACATTGTGGAGAGTTTCTGTTTCAATCCCACAGAAATTGGTGCTATATACAAGGAAAAAAGATAGAAACTGTAAACAGGAAAGAGGAAAAAACTGCCATTTAAACACACTGTCTAAAATATAACTTGGAAGAGTGAAGTTTCTAGTTCATACAACAGAGTTGAGCATTAACCACCAGAGATTTATATCACTGCTCTAGATCCTAGGTTGTAGGGGATTGTATTTCTCCAGTCTACCTTCCAATTACTCTGTGTCCTGGTTTCAGCTGGGATAGAGTTAATCTTCTTCCTAGTAGCTGGCATAGTACTCTGTTTTGGATTTAGAATGAGAATAATGCTGATAACACACCG